AGGGAAGTGGTGCTGGCCCCTACCCTGGGGGTCTTTAAGAAGAGGCTGGATGCCTACCTGGCTGGACTCATTTGAGTCCCGTTTTTGTTTTGGGGTTTTGTTGTTCTCCAGCCCTGGCGGGGGGTCGGGCTAGATGATCTACTAGGTCCCTTCCAACCCTAAATCTATGAAACTATGAAACTATGAATTTGGACTACTAAATGTAATTGGCAGAAAATATTTAAATTCTAAATTGGATTAGCAACACAAGCCAGAGAGTTCTGATAAATGCTTACAGATCAGGAAGGAAATGACCCAAGAAGAGCCACCATTAATATCAAGGTCACCTCTCTCGAATATAGATATTAATCAGAGAGAGAGTCTTTTCTTCAGGCCACAAAGCTAATCAGAACCCCTGACTTCAATAACTGATCTTGGCACTGGTTCCCTCTCTGTCTCATGGCAAGTCAATGAGGGCTAAGCTCTGCTTTGCTTGATGTCACTGGGACCATTAACTTGAGTAAAAAGCAAGAAAATATGTCCCTTAATCACTCTTCCAATCTATAAAATAGGGTAGTAATGCTAACATGCTCTCAGAGGATTATTTGAAAATTAGCTGATGTTTGTAAAGATCTTTGAAGATGAAGAGAGCTATTAAAGTGCTAAGTATTATTGACCAGGGGAAGGAACTGGAGGACAAAAGCACTTAATACCATCAATATCTACTGGCAATTATGAAGTTAAAAAGAATTCCTTGGTTTTGCCATATTACACCACTCCATCAACTTACCTTAGTACTTCCCCTGCACATCAGATCTAAGATTATGGTTCTTTCTTGTACTTTATGACCCATCTCTGAATTCAGACAATGTCACAATAATATAATGCCTCCCGTTTTGTATTCAGTGCTTTTTTGGTAGCTCCTTTATTCTCTTTTTTGTGTCAAAGTATTTTCTTGCTCAATCTTCTTGACTCTCTTGGTATCTCTGTCTAAATTCAAATCTTTAAAAACCCTGCTGCTTCAATAAAGATTTTGCCTCTCTCAATATATTTTATGTATTTTATCCTTCCAAGTCTTTTCTACAGTCTGCCTGTTTTCTTGGTTCAAGTTCTTTCAGTTAATTGCTTTCTTTTACTTTTCTATTTAGAAAAGCTCGTTAAAGAAGCTTTGTTAAATAAATGGATAATAAAACAATATATTGCTATCCTATGCTTAGACGTCCTTCAAGCAACTATCACTCAAACTGAAACAAATGCCATAAACAATTTTGAGGAAAAAAATAATGGAAGGATATTAGAAAGGCAGGAGTATTATGTCCTACATTTTAACTATTGTGAATAGTTCTCTGAAAACATCAGCTCAGTGTTCAATATCAGTCAAAAGGACAAACAGGATGTTAGGAATTATTAAGGGCATTGAAAACAAAACATGAAATATTTTTATGCTACTGCATAAGTCAGAAGTATACCCACTGAATACTAAATACAGTTCTGGGATGTCCATCTCTAAAGGGATACAATAGAAAAGAAAAGAAAAGATTGCAAAAAGGGCAACAAGGATGATAAAGAACAAGAAGAGAATTCTATACATGGAGAAAATATTAGGCTAAGACTTCTCAGTTTAGAGAAAAGATGACAGAGGGGAGATATGAGAAAGACATGTTATGTACAAGGTATATATTTATTTATATGAAATGTAATCTGTACCATGTGCTTTCTAATAATGACACAAAAATATCAAAGACACTCAGACTTAAAATTAAGATAACTGAATATTTATATTAAAAAGTTACCCAAGTTAAGATGATTGTTTTTTCTTATGAAAAAATGTTTGTAAATTCAAATGGAAGATTCCTCAAGTATTATTACAGTTTTGCATCTATTGACCAGCAATCTCATCATCTCATCTGAGTCACAGTAAAAGGTTACAAACATACAGATCAGTAATATAATTTGGACAGTGTGGATGAAAAAGATAGGGCTGTATTCCATGAAAGAAATATCATCAGTTTAGGTAAGTACAGTATTATATAACATATGCTTTAATTGTTTAGAATGTATATATACATTATACAATTTACACCCCCCCAATTTTTCTTTGTTTTTTAATACCATCACACACAGATCAGTCCAAAATGATGCTTACACTGGATCCTTTGCAATGTTTTCTCCTCACTGTTGTCAGGATTTGACTCTGTCCAAATTTATATTACTTCACTAACAGGGGTGTGGGCTCACTACCGTATCTTTAATAGCACTGAAGGTCTATTATTCCATAACAGAATGGGGACGAACCATGAGGATTCTGTGATTGCTTAAATGTTCCTGGAACATAATGGATGTGCACTAATGGCACTGAAGAATAAAATGTCAGGCTGCTTTTCAGAACTTTGAGAAACTTTATTTTTGTATGTTTTTTTCTGATTAATAAAACTCAAACATGTGCATAACTCTCCTCTGTTGACTGACTGCCAAAAAGATTGAAATAGAAAGGGAAGATCCGAGTTGTTGCTGAGGAAGCTGAGTGTGTGTCAAAAACTGGACTATCCACTGCAACATTAACAAGTTAAGTTTAGAAAAATAGCTATTCCTTTGTGCAAAGTAGGAAAAAGGACAAGACTGAGGTATGAATGTTTCAAGAGGCACATAACTGTTACAGGTAGTAATGAAGTCAATTATTAAAATACACTGAAATCAAAGGATCAAGTTTTAAAGAAATTAAGGATATATTTATTCAGGGGATAGGGGATGGATTATTTGTGTACCAGACTACCATAGTCAGCAAGAGCAAGTGTAACTGGTTAAATGTATACAGCAGTGGTGCTCAACCCACACTGCCATCACTCTCCTGCTACCACATTTCTGGATCTGAGGGGAGTGCCGTGGGCTGGATGACATGGCCCTAGATCCCAAATTGGGCCAGCCCACAGCCAGATCTGGGGCACGGAGCTGGTCCACAGATGCTGGATCTGGCCCACAGTTGGCCCTATGATGCTAATCCAACCCTTGAGCCTAGATGGATTGGGTTCCACTGGTGTAGACTGAGGCTGAGTATACACATTCAAATAACCTTCCAGGTTTGCTATCCAGGTACAGAAATTTACCCATAGCTGCATGTACAGACATTCAAATGCTGACATCCTCAAGAGTACAGAGCTTGCAGCTAGCAAGGGAAGGAGCTGTGTACACATCTAAGTATGTTCTGCAGCCTTCCTCAGTCTGCCTGGTGACAAATCACAGCTGCGCATAGGGCAGCCCTGGTTGGCTGACCCAGACTGCCCACAGTCAGCCTGCATTTCCCCACAGTACAATGCTGGGATTGCAAAGGGGCAGTGCTCTGGAGCACCAGAGTCCAGGAAATGACACACTTTCTTCCTGGGAGGGTGGGGGAGAAGCTGGAGGACCATGTTCTCTTCTGAGAGAAGCCACAGCATGTACAGCCATTTGCTATACAAAGAGAAACTTTTATCCCAAGAGAAACCCTATTGTTCCTAGGTTATTTTGATGCTAGACATTTTTACCCAGGGAGAAAAAACCTAAAACCCCTGTACACTCATGGTTTCTCTTGGAAGAGCAGCAATTCTTGCAGGAGAAACTGAGTATCCTCTGTACAATGCCTGAAACAAAGCATTTGTACTCTGCCAATGTCTCTTCACTAGACAGAAAAGGCCTCAAAAACATGCTACAAAACTAAAGTCATGCTACATTTTAAACAAACTAGATTTAACATAAATTACCAACTGAAAGCCAGATTGGTAGCAGAAATCATGACCTGAGAATGGGAGGAAAATATTATAACAAGGATTTAGCCCAAGATCATACATAAAAATTAGAACTAAAATTTATCAGGTTTTATTTCACATTCCTAGGGAAACGCCTGGCCATTCAGGGTTATCCTATGGCTAAGAGGGCACATTGACTGGACCAAGCATAAAAATATTCATACTTGGGTGTTGCAGGTGATGCAGATCTTTTGGACATGCCTGCAGGAGAATCTGATCTTCTCAGAGGGGAACCCAAGCCAGATGATGAAACAGGCGTTGTGGGTCGCTTCTCCTTCTTTATCTTTTCAGCCTAGAACAACAAATTCAGGTTCCTTTACTTAGCTTTTGTAATTAAGAGAAAAGTGTCAATATAAAGAATAAACAAAGGGAATATCAATAGATATGCACAAATGCACAAACAAAACTAAAGTCCTCTAAATCCCAGTGGTGTACGTAGGGCAGGGTACCCAGGGCAGCTGTCCTGGTCGCTGACTTGTGGGAGGGAAGGGACTGGAAAGAGATGGCTGCTGCTACACTGTAAGACTGCAGTCACAATCGCATGGTACCGCAGCAAGCAGAAGCTGCCCTGTGTGTGACAGCTGGCCCAGGTGCCTGGCTGAGTTGTTATGCCTCTGCCAGTACACAACTGAAGTGCCAGATCATTCTACCTTGAGCATAAACACTTATTTTTCACTTACACGTAGTATACAAAAGCTGTTAAACACTGCACATCATAAAGAAATACTAGTGGAGCAGCACGGTGGTATGCTACCCTGCAAGAGCTTCAGCAAGCAATGGAGAAACATTTCAAAATCCCTTTTAAACAACTGCTCTAGGACACGCTAGACCTATTTGTTATTACAAAATATGGGGCACTATGGGAAAGAATTCTTGAATGTCAGCACACCTTTTTAAAAACATGCTTAGCAATGTGTAGGCATGTATAAACTAAGTTATCTTATATTCTTTGTTTTCGCAGAAAATGCAAAATTACCAACAGCAAAATGTTAAATAAACTTATACCGACAGAGAAAAAGTGAAACTTGAACGGTGTAAATTAGAGATGCTGCTAATACATTAGGCAAGTTTCAGGAGTATGGGGAAAACTTGCCAAGCAACTAGGACAGCGAACAGATTTATAGACGGACACTATTTGCTACACACCCATTCCCAAAAATATTGACTTCATGAGACAATTCAGAGACAAAATATGTTTCAGAGTCAGAAATGTAGATACCCAGCACACAGAAACACCATTCCAAATAATGTTCCTTAATAGAAGCTACACACTGTTTCCTAGAAGGTATTAAAAACTTACAGCAGGGCAAATACAGTAGCAAATAGAGAGAAAGCTTTCTCTGCTTTAGCTGTCTTATAGAAGTTATGGCACACCAGTCTTTGGTAAATAAAAATGAAACAAGACAACTTAAATCAACTTAACCCCAAACCGAAATTAAAACCTATTCCAAACCCACCTGCGTAACTTCAGCTGCCGCTGCCCCTCTTGAGGCATCAGAAGCAGAAGCTGATGTCGCCTTCTTTTTTTCTGTGCTTCGGGTGGGGGAAGGCTTGTAGGGAGATTTTATAGGACTAGCTGGTGCTACACGAGGACAGATATGGAATACTAAAGAGTTATAGTACAATAGCAAGAGCAAAGGGGAACACAGACAGAAGAAGTAAGGAAAAGGAGAAAACAGCACAGCCTTAAGTTACAGCAACATTAGATGTGGCATATAACATTTTCCAAGGTTTGTTTCAAGAGATACCTAATTGCATTAACATACTAACTATACTTTTTGTATGGCCTCACATTTCCTAAAAATTCCTTTGCTAAATCATTTGTATGGTATCAAAAGCATTTTCAAAAAAGCCTCAACTCTAAACATCACTGTAACACCCAAACATATTTTCAATCATTTTAACGGAGTTTTGTGCTGTTTTTCTCTTCTGAAGAAAGCAAACCTCTTTTCACTCAGTATACTTTTAAAAGTGGGATACTCATATTTAGGTCATATTTCAATAAGCATTTCAAGAAAAGGGTAGTTTTCAAAGACAAAAGATAACATTTTCAAAAGCATCTAAGGGATGTAGACTTCTAGAAAAGACAAGTGCTAGATGCTTTTAAAATTTTTAGTTGGGTGTTCTAAAAGAATCTGTTGATACAAGACTTATCACATGCACAATTTTGTTCCTAAAAGTTGGTAGTTACTTGAATCTGAGTAGAGCTCACTGATTAAATGCACCAACTCTAGGTCTTTTTTATCTGCTTGGTATTTATTTGCTAAATAAATAAAAACAGCATTTTTCTGATATTGGTTGCTAAGCTACAAATATTTCAAAAACATGAAAAACTAGATCAACTACATGTACGTTTCATAATTAACACTGGGAAAAATCAACACCATTGGGACATAACTAACTTTGTTTAATCATGAAAGGACTGATCGTGGGATAATGTTACTGTGCATCATACATTTTAAAGGAACAGAACAAATTTTCCATAACCTCTGTTAGCCCAGTCTTATAAAATTAAACATTCTGTAATTTTAAAATTAAATATAATCAAAACGTTTTTTCTTTTTTCTGGACTCTTTTCCAGCAAGATGGCAACACTCTAGGGAATCTTGGGAAACTTCCTGTTTGCAGTATAAGGGATTTTTTTTTACTTTAGCTGTTATGAATAATTGCTCTAGAAAAAGTCTCAAAATGGGCACTGAAATGAAGACCCTAATTCCTGGGTATGCACAAAGAGACACTAAATCTCAGAAATGAAACACAGCATAGACTACATGAAAAAACAGTACCTAGTTCCATATTTACTAAGTTATTACAACTAAGGCAGTCTAAAGGCCACAATGCTAATTCTGAATGATGTCACTCTGCAAAGACAGAGAAACTGCTAAAACAACCACAAAATATTGAATTCTTACTCTTTAGTACCCCTTTACATCCTTTAACAATGTATAATTGTTTGTTTGACTGCCTGTTTGACATTAAGCATCAAGGTCCTCTTATTTTACTGGTAAATCACGGCAGGACCATGAACAGAAATCCTGTGCATTTCTGTTTTCTGTAATCTGAGCAGCAGCTTTCCTCCCTTCCAACTGGAGGGTGAGAGGAGGGTGGGCCCTAAGAGGATTCCAAGAATCAGCATTCTGCTGCTTCAGTTTAGAAGGAAAAGAGAACTGCAATCCAGGTTCCAGTCTGGCATGACGCACAGTCTATGTCCTTTAGAGAAAGATGGTGCAGCAAAGGGGGGGGTGTTGGGGGAGGGGGGATGAGGGTTTGGATGTAAATAAGCAAAGAACAAATCAAGAAATGATCTCTATATTTCTTCTCTACAGATTATTAAAACCACAAAACTACATAAAAAGCCATGAAATTAGAAGCACTGATTCTGTTTCATCTTAGCAGCACATTCTAAATTTACAGTAGCAACCATGACCTCATTCTGTGCTGGCCTTCCTTTTGTATCTTTCTGAACAATAAATCAAGGTTTTTCATAGATCAAAAACACTGCATACTGCAGCTTCCAAAATACAATACTGTTTAATGTAGAAACAAGCAAAAAGACAACATTTAATGAATGTCTTTAAATGCCAAAAGGAAAAAGTTGAGGGCATTTTTTCCTTTGTTTGCTTTGTTATAAACTATTGTCTCTTTATATTAATATCAGAGGTATAAAAGATGAGTACCCTTAAGCCATGCAGTGGGGGACTAAGAGATGACAAAGGTTTTTTTACCATGGTACAGTTTTGTCTTGAAAAGTGAGTATTTTCTTTTGCAGATAGTGTATTTACAAAAACTTTCCCTGATTCTGCAAACATTTATTCAGAAGTGTCTTTAAAGATGGGATTACTCACATGCATAAAGTTAATCACATGCAAGTATTAGCAAGAACAGAACCAACATTACTTGACATGGGCTTGACATTATAACATACAGAAGAGGACAGTTAATGACATCACTAATATTTAATCCCTTAAAAAAGAAGGAAGTTCATTACTAGAAGTAGCATTCTCTACTCCGTCTAGTTTGTTTTTCTTTTTTTGAAGTATACCCTAGTATTTATAAAAACTTTTATCATCTGCTCCTTTAAAAAACAGAAGTGATTGCACAGTAAATAACAACTGAAACCTCGATAAAACTCAATAGGAATGAAACATATTTTGAATGCTAATCTTTATTTTGGATACTGTTTGTCTGAAGAAAATTAAGAGACAATATTAATGTGCTAATATAGCACTTCTATCCTTTCCTCTAATAACTGAGCCATTTGGGTGCAGAACTAAAGATACTTTATGAATTGTTCCATTAGGCTTGCATTTTTCAACAATTATTTCAATTATTTAAAAAACCCAGAACAACAGACATGTAAATATTTTTTAACCTTGTGACACATTTTACCAGAAGTGGATAGTAAAATTATAATAAAAAATGAGTTGATTTAAGAAGTAACATAAGTGTAGCTAAACAGAACTTAACAATTTCAAAATGCACTTTTTTTTTTCTTTTACCTGAGTCACTGTACTGCTCAGAGAGCATTAGTGTGCTTCTGCTTCTGGCTAAAGAAGAGTGTGTAGGAGTCAAGAGTCGAGAAACAATAAAATTTTCCATTGGACTAAGGTGCATGCGGTGAGCTGAAGGATGGGAGCAAATAAAATAAATTTAACATGCAAAAAGAAATTAAACAAAAAACAATTACAAAAATGATAAATAAAACCTTTAAAATGATAAAATGAAACAAAGAAAAAATATAATACTTGTAATCCAAAAATATTTTAAAAGAATTTAATTCTCAAGTTGGTTTTGGGGTTCTTTATCATTTTAAGCCACCTAAATTATCTTCCAACCTGTACAGCAAACATAGTAGGTTATGGCTATTCTTCATAGGCAAAATATTTCAGTTCTGCAAAATGGTTGCTTTCATGACTCAGCATGAAGAAAAGCTTTGCCCAACAGAATAAATAGATGAGATACTGGCTCGACAGTGCAGCCGCTGAGGTGTATGCAAATAATACTGTAAAATATTTAACACACTCAAAGTGTCACTGTTCTATAAATCTCACTTCACACAATATGCCCTCCCTCCTGTCCTCTTCATAAGTATAAGCTAAGGCCCTGGACACACATGCTTACATATGTGTAAAACAGGAGCTGATATGCTGTATAGTTCTATACAAGTCCAGCAATGAATATCCCAGGAAAAATCAAGGGCAAAACAACACCAGCATACATTACATCAGGGTATTTGTCATGTGTCCACAATTTATTTCAGAGCAGCCATTTTGCTCCCTTGCCACCTTGGCTAAGGACAGAAGTTAGACATAAACCAGTAAGAGATCGGAAACTGGTTTAAACCTGTAACAGAACAGAAGTTCAGTGCACATAAACCGCTTTCAAAATGGCCAAAACCAGTTTAAGATAAACCCAGTTGGATGTAGTATCAGACTTAACTGATTTAGGCCAAACTGGTTTATGAAACTTCTGTCCCAGATCCCTTCCTGGTTCAAGTTAACTCACAGCCCCCCAGCACACCCAGGCTATGCTGTCTGTTATGCACCCCTCTACTCCTTTCCTGCTTGTATCTATCAGCCCACAGGGATGCAGGGGAACAGATATCCTAAACCCCCCTACCCAGGGTCTACACAGTACATGGAGAGTGGGGGAGGGAAAGCCCCTCAAGTGGACGATTTTGGACCCCTGCAACCCGCCCCCTTCCCAGCTGCTGATTGTTTCAGCTACTGCCACAGGAGGGAGGGAGAAGTCCTCCTGGCCAGATGCCTGCCCATGCAGCCCAGCACCAGAGAGCCCCTGCCTTGTCAGGCTTCCTCCCACCCCAGCCCAGGATCCCCCAGCCTGGGGCAGCCCCAGGGAGCTGAGGGCAATTCTTCTCCTCCCCAGTCCTAGGGCTGCTTGCCTGAGCTGCTACGAGTCTGCAGGGATAGCTTGGGGCAGCCTTAGGAAGCAGAGGGAAATTCTCCTGCTCCTCCACACCCAGTTTTGCTTGAGCTGCTGAGAATCTGAGGCAAAAAACTTATTGCAGGGGAGTGGAAGAATTCCTCTTTCTCCCTCCTCTGAAAGCCACTGAAGCAATCAGCAGCTGGGAAGGGGCAGGGGGGGAATTCCCCTTAGCTCCCCAGGGCTGCCCAGCGGGGGAACCCAGGCTGGAGGAAACACCCTGAGGGAGAGGCTCCCCCAGTGGTGGGCCAGCACCCCATGGGGGACAGCAGGCGGTTGGGGGCATGTACTGGGGAGCCAACTGGGGACACTTGGGTAGGTTGGCAGTGGCCAGCAGACTGGAAGACATGTTCTAGTGCCCCGCACCTACTGACCTGGGTCAGTGCAGGCCTCCCCTTGCCTTTCCCAACTGAAAACTGAACACTAGTTCAACTGGTTATCAGGTCAAGCTACGTAGTTTAGAAGAAGTTCCCTAGATTGAATCAATTCTGCCTTGGGCTTTTTGACTGTCTGTACTTAGCCCCTGGGGTAATGTGCTGTAATAATGCCTACTATATGCAGCTACCCCAAAAGAGCTGGGTGTCTGTTTCCACCAGATCTCAGTATAATTTACACATCAGTATACAAAATTAATGTCAATTATGCCACTGTAGAAATGCTGTGTGTCCAGTACTCTAAGACTACAGAATTTTATAAGTATAACCTGAAGATACACATTTATAGAGCCATCTATTGCAATAACTTCTCAATCATAGAGTCCTTTAATAAATATGCATCTAAAACTGAAGAACATTCAAAAGTCCTTTCTTACTTCAGTCACTATATTCTAACCCCTGTATTTTAAACAGCAGTAGCTCAGAGAAGGACAAATCCTCAGTCCTTTATGGTCATTATCCACTAATCCTGCAAGATGATTATCTTCTGCTGAACTTCTCATGGATTAGGCTTGAAGTCTAGTTAAAGGACTTTAGAACTCTGGACACGAGTGAAGATGTCCAACAGGCTCATATCATATTTTTGCCAATACCACAAAGTAGCACATACCTGTTCATTACTTAAAATTGTTTCTTAACATGGCTAAAACATCACAAACCAAACATTTTTGGCTTGTAGTCTGCCTGTAGTCAAGCCATGCTCCTTTTTATGTGCCAACAAGGAAAACAGCCAGTGAAAAATACAATACCTGAGTCTTACTGGTTGAATTATTACTGATGCATTTACAATGCTGAAGCCTAATACTTCAGTGTGAGTTCTCCCATCTCAAATAACTAATGCACACCCTTTAACTAATCCAGCATTTTTCTCTGTCCTGCCACTTCTGTCCAATGCCCATAATTTAGCCAAACTCATTACCAAAGGCCCAGAAGGATTCATAGGGCATATCCTCCTCCATGACAAAGATTTACATTAGCAGTTCAGCATTTACTTCCATACCTGGGGTCTGCAACCTGGTAACATTGTCCTAGATGGGCAAGAAACTTATTTCATGTACTTAATATCACTGGATCTGTTATTAATTGTTAGCTTGCCACATCAATAACTTCTGACTCGATTCCTGCAAAAGCCACAAAACAGCTACAAATACATCTATGGACAGGAGAGTGCGCTTTAAATATGGAAGGAGAGCTGATGCTCATAAGAGACCATAAGCAGCATATTCACTTGCCTCTGTCAGGGGAATGTGTTATTGCCGCTGTGGAGGAGGAGAGTCGCTTACTGATTGGTGACTCCATTTGCTTTGGCAGATTCATTGTAGAAGCTGAAAGTTTGTCACATGCTGCAGAGAGACGCAGTGAAGATATTTATATTGACACCACAGTGTGGAAAACTCCCAAAATTAACCTCTCCTTTTGTAGTCACGGACCTTGTCACTAATCTGGAGCACTAAATATTGCATAAAAGATAATCCTATTCTGACTGCTGTAGTAGTAGCACTCAGTGAGATGCAGATTGGGGTAGAATTTTTCTCCTTGTGCTTTTAACATTCCGATGTTACAATACCCTGCATTCTGTAGTGCCAGAAGCTAGTCATTTCATAGTAAGTCCAAATGAATAAAGTTGTAGCAAGGGTGTGTAACACCTACACACCAATCACACAAGCAGCATGAACTTATGCCCAATTAATGTTGCAGTGAACTCCCAATATGCACTGCTTTTTGTGCAATAGTCAGAAGTCACAAGCATAGTGAATAGTTTAGAGATTTCATTTTGTTTACTTTATTTTGTTTCTCCTAATAGAAAAAAAAAATCAAACTAGAAACTCATATAAATGGTTCCAATCCTGCAGTCCTTAGGTAATATTCCCAGTTATTTCATTGGAACTTGCCTGAAGGAGACTTGCAAGATTTAACTCTGTCTACTTAGTAAGCAATACAATTCCTTAAGTTCCTTTTTTTTAAAAGGTAGATACAAAGTTTGCTCCAAGAACATGCGTGTCCAAATCTTTTATTTATTCATAAATTATTGCTTGGTATAAACATTTGCCAATGGATGCATGAAAATAGTTTTGTAAGTATACATGCCTGTCTTTACAGGCACCATCATTGTGCCCATCTTGAGGGGTGGGGAGAATGTTACTAAATAGATTGGCTTGGTGAGGTTTTCAAAATATCAGGTAAACTTGGGGATAAAAATGTAGGAAAAACACAAGAAACAAAATATTATGCCAACGCATCACTACTCTAAGAGCGTAACATCTCATTTCACAGACCTTTAAAAAAAATTCTGATCTAACATACAGAAGAAAAATCAAATACATTCAAGACACTCTCAGTGTGAGAGTTTGTAACCGCTATTAATATGAAAAGAAACTATTCAACATCCTGAAACAACAAGGCTCTTTAAACAGATTTTATTAGTTTTAAAAAATTGGGGGAGGGGCAATATAAAGAGAGATACTGGGAAACATAGGTATGTTAAGATTACTTGTAGCACATTTTATTTACATGTATTGTATAGTTGAAATGTTTATATATAATAGAACCTATACCCCAGTAGGTCTCTTCTGCACAAGCAATTTGAAAGTTATGCACACAAGAACTACAAAAACATGTATCTGTTTTTAATTTCACAAATAAGTTCACAAATATGTGAATTTACTGAGTAATTAGAAGGCCACAGTTAGTGATCAAATTATGAAATGTCTCCATTGTGCTGAAATGCAAGGCATGCACTGCTTCACTATGACAAAATTAAAAGAAAAAGACAATTGGTCCACATCTCTAACAATAATGCTGTAGAATACCAGACTGAAATAATAAGAAAAAACAGTGGTTAGGAAGGACAAGATCAGTGGATGGATTAAAGTGATTAGAACAATTAAACGAGACACTATGGTACTGTGATTCTCTGAAATACCATTGTAGGAATCAGCAGCAGCAGTAGAGGTCACAGGGTCTGGAGGAAGGGTGTTGGCAACTAAACCTAGAGGGGGTGGGGTATTTTCTGATTCACCTACACAGCAGAAAAAAATCAGAGCAGAGAGGTGAAAGAAATTACCTAATAGGTTAAAAACATGTTTAAGCTATAAATAAAAAGGTGCCTTTCTAGAAGTGTAAGAATTGCTTTCATCATGCTGCAAGTACATTTATTTTCTAATTATTATATGATGTACCATGAAATATACTGTGAAATACACCCATATCATTTTTATTTTAGCAAAAAATATTACATATATTTACACTCTGTTTAGAAGACAGCAGCAGAAATATTTTCATCATCTAAACACAAGATTTTTTGTTTTTTATTTTTTTAATAGAAAACAATGTATTAAAAACCTTGAAATTTTAAATGAACATAAATGATTTAAACATAAAACATGCTTTTTGAAACAAAAAGCAGTACATGGTTCTGAAATAATTTGCTTTGAAGCCAAAACAAAAAAGCAGTAACTAAAAACGTGGAAAAATCCATTTGGAACTGTAAATGCTGCATAATCATCTAGAAAACCCTGTGAGCTATTAGAGATGCCAAAACCAAAAATAGATCATTTTTTGCAAAATCTTCAACAGCTCTCAGCCCCCCTGGTGATTATTTAATTTGCTAAATATATATTTTTTATAATTATTTTTGCATTTTATTTTTTTGCCATCCTCAAGACAGTTTCTGATTGCACTATTAAAATGACCTGCATTCACAAACTTAGGAGTGATCTTTCTTCCCAAGAGATATCATAGACAGGAAACCTGGTAAGTGATTACAAAGCATTTATTCATGCAACTTGTCAACAGCCCATACAATCTCACTGTACCAATTAAAAGTACCTTTCTTCTATTTTTAAATTGTATGCATTTTGCACTTCAAGATCTGCAATGCAGACAGCCTGTTACACTCACCATCTCTCCCTGAGCCTGCAGCCAGTGCTCCTCCCCACGACCATCGCTTCTGTTTCTGTTCCAGCTGCTGACTACGTTCAAGAGAACGACGCATCATAGCTTCTAAACGTTCCTGGTTGCAGAAAAAGAGAAATAAAATCCAAACTGGTTCACCTGTGCTTTTGCAATCAATGCTAAAAATAAACGTTGCTTGCTGCCGCACATACGATGATTACAGGAACCTGTTACCAGTGAAAGAAAAAGGACAGAATAAAGAAGATATCAGTATGTCTACCTACCTCTAGATAAGTGTATCCTTTGTCTGCAGCCTTCTGAGGTCACAACAGAGGCCTAAGTAAATAACACAAGTTGCATCACTGCCTAGCATCTGCTCCCACTGGAGAGGCTGCTGCTGTGCTCTGGACTCAATTTGTGTAAGAATAATGCTCGACAAGCATTAACTCTTTCTTGTCTATGCAGACTTCAGGTTTTTTTCCTTCCAAAGTAGAGCTAAACTGCTGCAATGACACTGGCTCCTCCTAGCCGCACAGATAAATGATCAGTTCAAACACGAAGCTGGTTGCGTTGCAGAATGACTGATTTATTTCTAAAACAAGTCCCTGTTTCCACCACCACATCCTCTACATATTAGACATTTAAGAGTGAAGAGCAATGCTTATCCTATCCTGAGTTCCTGTTCAATTTAGAGATAGAAGAGGCAAGAATATTTGTGGGTGGTATCTTTCAAGTTGGTCCAATAAAAGATAATCACTCACAAAAATTCTTGCTTCTCACTTTTTTCCTGGACCACCACAGCTACATCATCACCTCAAAACAACCAGTTTAGATACATGCATCATTAACCATATCCTTCCTCCTCCTTGCTTTGGACCGCCTGCCACTCGACTCTCCCACCCATTCCTCTTTTCTCTCTCATTTTTTGTCCCTCTGAAAACCCTACCTCAATTTTAAATGTGACATAATTAGACATGACCTTCATTTCCCATTCCTTTGGCCTTCCAGCCTCACCTTAAACCTTGACAAATCTTTTGTATGCTTCAGCAGCCACCTTTTTCCTATGGTGGTCTCTCTATACTTTACTGATTGAGCATTAGGGTTTTATTGACTTTCTTCAAGATGGATACCCATCCTCTAATCCTTCTGCCCACCCCAATCCCCAGCATTCTAGTGCTAGTGGCCTTCCATGGCCATAAACTGCTTCCCACACACCTTACTCCCCTTTTCCAAACTGTCTACCAACATCCTTGGCAATTCCATAGATTCACAGAAGTAGGGTCGGAAGGGACCTTGTAGATCTTCTAGTCCGACCCCCCGCCATGGGCAGGAGAGAAAACCAGGCTCAAATGACCCCAGCCAGGTAGATGTCAAGCCTCCTCTTAAAGACTCCCAGGGTAGAAGCCATCACCACTTCCCTTGGAAGTTGGTTCAGGATCCTAGCCGACCTAACTGTGAAGTAGTGCCTTCGGATGTCTAGTCTAAAACTACTCTCTAACAACATGTGGCT